ATCCTAAATATACATGTACTGAAAAGGAGTTGAACAAAACCATTTTATAAAAATAGGAAATAGGTTTTTTAATAAACCTTTCTATTTATATTTAGGTACATGAGTTTTAACCAAATTATGTACTTGACCTCATGAGTCTGTAAGGGTATTTAAAACCCGAAATTTCCTATGGGCTGTGAAATCTAAACATTAAAAATAGTTAAGGAGAGGAGGGTTGAAATCACCAAAAGACACATCATTGGTACTTATTAGGAGCGACACACAATTTCACACAATATATCTTTTTACCTAACGAAATCCGCAAATTTTAATGATACAAAAGATTTTTTTTATCTGACCGTAATGTAACAATATTCCGCATAAAAATTGTTACGACGTTGTCATTTATTATAAAAATATGTATTATAATATAAATAAATAAAAAATAAAACAAATAATACAAATTAAATTATTCAAAGTTTTATTTCAATTTTTCCCTTATAATAATTAAAATGAGTAAAAATTTATAAAAAATAAAAATATAAAATTACAATTTTTTTCTTTGATATCTTGGACCTACTCATGATAAAAAATGATTTAAATTAATTTGATTTGATTTACACTTATTGTATGCATTTATGGTGAATTGCATACATTCTTTTTTTATTTTGTACAACATTTTGTGATCATTGTACAGTGTATCGACCTGAGTTTAGTTTCAGTTTCCGACTGAAATTCCGTCAATACTTTTATTACTAAATAAATATGTGGTAATATATGGTATGGGTGATAAAATTTGGCGTAATATGTACGATACGAACTTTCAGAACCATTAGCTGTTCTATAAAAAGTATAAGTAATATATAGTTATAAATAAATATTACTGTTTATGTAATTAAAATCAAGTTGTGGAAATTGATTAAAAATGTATTTTTCCCTTGAATTAATTGATGGTTTTTCAGCCCACAATTCTGGTGGAAATAAGCAATTTATCTTCAATGTAATTGCTAAAATATAATCAGTGCACAAATATCATACAGTATCGTTGGGGCAAATATTTATAAGTTCAGTGAATGCTTCATTTACTTCAGAATATGCAAGAAAAAGTAAAGCAAAAAATTGCTTCAACCACTTTCCAAGTTTATCATTTGAATCCATATATACTTCATTTAAACTAGATTCGCTTTGAATCTATAAAAAAAAAACGTACGAAATAAATAAATTAATATAAATATACAGAGTGTAACAGGACTGTTTAACTAATATAATAACTTCATTATTTTATTATTATATCATTGCGCTATAATTTAAATAATTTAGAAATTGTTTTCTTCGTTGATCATAAATTGCTTTACTTACATATTTAATGTCATGGTGTCTTATTACCGATGAGTCTGGATTCTGGAGTAACTCTGTCGGTATAATTTTGATAAGTTTTACTAGAAAATGATTCCTCTGCTCATCTCTTACAATTTCCCTGAGTACTTGTTTTCTATTTCGTTAGGAGTGTCAGCCGGATGATTATGTAAACCTTTTGAGTCCTGTACTATTTTAGTGTAGCAAGGGAGCTATTGGTTTTACAATGTTGTTTATTATTATTTTTTTTTTTATTACTTTGTTCTACTCTGTGGACACGTTTTTTCCTAGTAAATCTGCTCCGACGTATAAGTTTAGAACCTTTTCTGAAAGCTCAAGTTGTCGATATTGTACTTTAAAAAAGATCAATTTTGATTTTCGACGCCATTTTTAAAATAAAAGCACTTGAATGGAAAAAAACATAGGAAAACGTAAAATTTCACGATTTCATTACTTTATAAAAACACGGACGACGTTTTCTACCAGAAAAAATGAGTTAATCGAAAAATCACTAAATACTTTTATTGTTGCCTTTTGATTTACTTTCTAAATGTATCATTGTAAAAACTTTTGAGCCACTTTTGAGCTTTTAAAGATTTTTAATTTTTGGGGGTTTTTTAGTTAAATTCGAATATAAATACACGTAGAAACTTGAAACTTGGTAATAATACTCCTATTAGACCTATCTAGACGTGGTAACATTTTTAAAACCATCGGGCGACTTTTTTTTTTTTTAATAAGCGTTTTGAAATCAAATTTAAACGAAAATCGTGAAAAAAAATACGGCACTTCAAATTGTTTAATACCGAACTGCGCTCGAAATTGTCTTTCATCAAGCAATGGTTTGTCGTTGCCCACAGATATAAATTAACTAATCTTATGTATCCTACCTTCCCAACTTTTCACCTACAACAGTGGCCGCTCCCATCCTAAGTATCAGATCTTTTTTTTTTCTGAATTTGAAAAAGTAAACGCGGTGCAATTTTTGTCAGAAGAGCAACGCCACTTAAGTTGATCGCATTTACAAACACCGACCAATCTATGTTTGTAACCATTAACAACAGTTAAGTCCTTATTTTTCTCTAACATAATAAATCGAATTTCTAAGTTATTCATTTTAATTTATAAACTCACAAAGAACAAAATGTATGAAGAGTAAAACACAAAATATCGCAATGATACGTAATGTACGTAATCGTCGTAATTGTACGGATGACTGATTAGTCCAGATAAAATGTGCATTGTAGAATGTAGACTATAATCTGTACTGTAGATTAGCTAGAATTTGGGTTGAAACCAAAATTATATTTTTAAAATACAATCGGCAACGTCACAAATTAGTTTTGTGCAGAATCGTGTTGTGAAAAGGTATATACGGGAATCGTGAATCGCCGTTATTACGCACGGCCAGGAATTGGGCCACATTTTATCTACCTGCTTCGTAAACAATATTTTTGTTTTTTTCATTATCTGGGTGTTGGGCCATGAATAAAAGATATATTTTTAAAGGGTACCCGGAGATTGAGTCACAATAATGTACAACACAAACATATACGTGTATACATAGTGGGATCAAAAAGTTCCCGGAATACTTGAATTGCGCTCCAATGGAGTGTCCAAGAGCAGTAGAATTGATATCACTGAATTCTGTGACTTCTTCGGAGTAGATTCGAATTTGTAGATTCTCTATAACTTTCTTTGTTTTGATGTGACCGATGGTTTCTTAAAATATTTTTTTCGAATTTGGCGATTTTGTTATAACAAAGATAGTTATAGAGAATCTACAAATACAGATATACTCCGAAGAAGTCACAGAATCCAGTGATATTAATCCTACTGCTCTTAGACACTGCGTTGGTGCGCAATTCAAGTATTCCGGGAACTTTTTGATCCAACTACGTAATTTTAAACATATTAAAATACATAATATAAAATCAGTCAAATAATTATTAATTTTTTCTCATACACGATACACACAATTTTTTTTACATCACATTATTTTTTTTCAAAATATAAAATGAATCAAATAATTATTAATTTGTTTTTGAATAATGTGACACAAATTCTTTTGCACAGTATTAAAAAGTTCCGTCAACATTAAATTCGGTGTTAACGAACATAAGAAATTTAAATTTGTAATCGTAGAAAAAATAATAATATAGTTTAAAATAGTTTGTAAATTACGCTTCTAAATATTTTTATCAATTTTATTTCACGATAACCGATAGCCATCGTTGAAAACTCTGATAATTTCTATATCGTTTAATATTGGACAATAATTTATTGCCTTTGCTAAATTTAAAATTTATTAAAATATAGTGGCCCAATTAACGGATTAAATAATAAAAATCGTTTAAAATAGTGGCCTAACCATCGGGACTACCTGTTACAAATGTACAATTTCAATGGCACAATTACCGTGTACTTTTTTTCAAAAAGATTCATTGTGGCCCAATTCCCGGACTACCCTTATGAGACCATGTGTATACAAAATTGCCTCCCCCCAGCTTCATTTGTGGGAGAGGGACTGTAGTGATGTACAAAATAAAAAGAAACCCAACCTTTCTCCAGCAACAACATATATCATATGTTATTCCGAAAAAAATTATTTTTTTTTATCTAGTTATATTATTGCACCATGGTTACCGATTTCGAATTTAAATCTACATAAATATTCAACGGCAAATAAGAATTTTCTGTTGTAGGTTTATCAATGTTAGTTCAAAATGTATTATTCTTATGCAGTTATCGTTGCGCTAACCACTGCATTTATCGAACTGATAATGGATCGTGGCGGGGCGATATTCGACCGAACTTGGCAAATCGGCGTCAATTTATTTAGCCGGTTAAAAACCTTAGGTAAGAATAATTGTTCGTATTTTTTTTTCAATAGATTCACATCAGTTGGTGATAATATTAAATTCAGTGTATTTAATTTATAATTAGTTTTGCTATGAGTGTGGTTTAAAAACAAAAATTTTATTAATAGTATGTAAAAAAAAACTGGTGAAGGAAGAACGTAAATATACAGGTATCGGCGAGACAACTAACGAGATACGGAACGAAGAAGGTAAAATTCAATTTTTTTCTCCTTTAATAATAATTAATTAATACTAACATACATGCGTATTTTCGGTTTCAGACGATCTCATCTACGACGAAATCGCCGAAACGTTGGAATTAGTCGCGGTAGAATATCAGCGAATAAAAAATCAACTGGGTAAAACTCCGTTTCGTCTTTATTTTTTTTATTTTTTTAAAAAAATGACCGACATACTTTGCACCGGGAGTGAGCCACTGCCGCGGTTGTAGACAAAAAATTGGAAAGGTAGGTTATAGAGGGGAATTTCATTTATATCTATACACGGCAAAAATCCATCGCTAAAGAAAAACAATTTGGACTGAGGTTTCTTTTGTAAATATATGTATGTTTTTCGTTTTTCCGTTTTTCCCATTTGTTATGAAAACCACTCGAAAAATCAGAAAATGTCTAGGTACTAACTAGATAAAATTCCCTTTAAAAAAAAGTTGGCAGATAAAAAAATAATAATAAATAAACACTATTGTAAAATCTGCAATTTTTCGGTATGCTTCGAATCTAAAAGAAAAATGAAAAGAAAACCGAGACTTTTTTTTTGCTAGACGATGTCACGATTAAATTCGAAATGGAAAAGCAAAAGACTGCGCGGTCGCCGTTGCCGGTGCCTACGACGAAACCGACAGATCCAACGGAAATCGTGACGGACTTAATCCAGTTGCCTGCGCCTACGACGAAACCGGCAGATCCGACGGAAATTGTGACGGACCCGATCCAATTGCCGGCGCCTACGACGAAACCGGCAGATCCGGCGGAAAACGTGACGGTCCTCGACGACGGAAGTCCGTTATCGGACAGCGCGTGCCCTAATGCAAACGGAGTAAAAGAATGCGAAAAACTTTCTGGATACCGTGAGTGGGTTACCGTTCGATTGCTTTTACCCGAGGACACTAATCGCCGCGAAAATCACGAAGATATTGATAATCGCGATAATCACTGCTTTAGCGATGTCTTCCTTACATGCACATCGGCGATCGTCATTATCTTAGCTTTACATGTTATCCGTGCATACCAGTGAGAATTGTGAAAGAAATACCGTCGAGGATCAATACGTCGTGAATATTCGATACGGTTCGATATTATTTTTAACGTTAAAAGCCGATTTCGCCAACTGCGTTGATCGCGATTTAATATATCACGGTTAAAATATAATTGTAAATTAAAATTTTATATACTTATGAGTTGATTATTCCTCTTTTTAAGCAAGCTTGTGATGAGAGGAAGGTGGTGTCATCAATCCTATTAAATCAGATAATCAGTTTATCAGGCAATCGAGGTACATCAGATATACGATAGTTAAGATGGTAAAATGCAGACAAATTTTAGTAGTAATTCAATGGTGTAATGGTGAGTACAAATACGCGGGCATACGATCGTAGCCTGTTGGATGTTAACCATATAATATATATAATTTGAAAATTTCTAATTTTTTTTTAATCTCATCACTCCGAGAGAACTGAGGTGTTACCGTGTTTATATTATACGTCTTCGGTGATAACTATAAAATGATAAGGAATAGAAAAACTTAAAACCTTTCATACGTCATAGCTTCGCAATTTTCGCATGGTTTATCTATTTATCATCATAAGTTATCAAAAAACTATAAATATTGAATACTACGTAGAACGTAAGTATAGTATACATGGACATATTGTATTTGTGTGACAATGTTTAGCATATTTATGTATATATTTTACTAGTAACTTATTACACGATCAACATGGTTTAATAAATTAGGTACTGACAGTATACGCTTGTAATTTATTACATTTAATTTAGTTGAAAAGATCTATCAAATCTTAATAAATGTATTTAAATAAATACACAATAATAAATAAATTTAAATTAACTGTTATATGGGTGATAGGATCTTAGTGGGTAGGGGTTCGACCCACTTCCTCATAACATGAAGAGTGTATAAATGTGTTATTATGTTTACGTTATTTTTTAAATTAACTAAAATATGTTGGTTTTATGATAACCCTCCCCCCCATAAAGAATTCCTATTTACAGCAGTGAGAAGGAGGAAAGCCCCCCTGCACGTATCATATATTTCAGAATATAGGCGTATACTTAATACAATATTTACGACTACACCACTGAGTAGTATGGTACTAATGTTATAGAAAAATAAATTATAAAAATAAAATGTAAGGTAACAAAAACAAAAACTGAAAAAAAAACATAAAATAAAACCATTCGATTTATTCCTATCTTTGATTATTTTATTTCTCGGACATGACATATTTTTTTTAGTTTTAAACAGGTATTTGTCTTTTATTAATCTGATATTGATTGGCAATTCATTGAATATTTCAATTATAGCTCTATTTTGATAAGTAGCAGTGTTGAACTTTAAACATTGTGCCGCAACCTCCCCTTCTCCCTTCAGAAATAATATGTATCGGCTTGACTATGTACATTAGAAATTACAGAGAAATAAGCGAAAAGTTGATTCGAATTAAATATTTTAATTAAATGTCAAATAGCTGCAAGGTATTCATACCGCTGTATCGTTTTAACGCAATTTGTATTGATATTCAACGTGTAGTATTTAACGACCCAATAGTAGACAGGTAAACTGATCTCTAAAAAACAATACCGTAAGACAAAATTGACTATTACACTAACACAAAATAAACACTCCTCCATGGTGGGATAGATCTAAGATAGGAATTTAATTTTTAATTACATAAGAGAGTTTTCTCGATCTTTTTATACCTTATTTAATACGCGTTTTTCATTTCATATCACCTGTGTATACTTGACACTAAAAATACGAAACAATTTGAAACATATAAAATCAAATATCCATTTTCCAAGCATGTATAGATGAATGGTTTTCCAAGGTATTTATTTGAGTTATCTAATCTTTAGATAATGCAAATGTCATAAAAAAGATTTTGTTCATATTACAAGAAAGTGAATTGCCCGAAAACCAGTTTTAGTTTTGATAAAATCTATATTTGCTGTCAATTCAAGATCAGTGGAATCGTTTGCCTTAAAAATTTAAGCGGTGCCGTCTGCATACGCTAAAACTCTTCCTACCAAATTAAGTTCGAATAAATCGTTTATATAAATTCAATTCAATAAAGGCCCCAAATTTGTATCCCGAGGTACTCCGAACCGCACAGGTTTTGCTTTGATATTATAAAATACGACGAGCTCATAAACGTGTTCACAACTCGGGCTTCTTTTATAAAATTTCCCTACGGCGTTTTCAAGCTGCGGCCGTCCCGTGCGTGTATAGACGACGCTGCTTTGAACTTCTCAGCGATTTCTATCCACTACAGGCATTTTTAATTTTGCGCTCGCCCCGTCAGTCTTCTTCGATTCAATAACACTGGAGTGCTCATGTAACAATAATAACCTAGCCAATAGAATTGATTTCTCGAAGAAATCAAAAACGCGTTATCGCTCTCTTTTTAATAATATTATGTCGTATTATATATAATACATATAATATATAATAATATAATAATCGATAAAAACCACATAAACACAAAATACTATTATACTCGTAAACATCAAATATACAAATGTTAATTATTTATCACGTTTTATCATACGCCACAGCTGTCTTAATAATGACATTAATCGCGATTATCGAAGGTTAATTGGGGTTACCGTAATTGCATTTAACCGGACCGTAATTGGTGTGGTGAAATCCAAATGTTGATAAATCACGATTAACTTTTAACCCTGATTGCTTTAATCGCGCGATTAGTGTATTTTTGGTGAAATCGGCCCTTAATCGTATACAATTTTGTTTTTTTTCAAATTTTAAACTAAAATACCGTAAACAAAAAGGGCGGCTTTAAGAAAAGTCACGTGTCATACTGAAATTGTATCGCGACGGTCCCGCTCTTTAAAATGATTTTCTCCGAAAGGGGTTTTTTTTTGACAATTTATTTATAAGACGGATAGAATACATATAAGAAGCCGCGGTTTCCGATTTTTACCGCGTGAAAATATTAAGGTTTAAATACGCATTTTACAATAATGTTGTTATTGCTCGAGTACAAGAAAGACGGGCGAAAAGAGAAGTTTAGAGTTTCTCCCCGAGCGAATAATACGAACAGGCAGCGTTATAATATTTCAGGTACGCATTCGGGATTTCGCATTGTTCGGCCTTAAAATTCGCGTCTAAAAAGCTTATACCGCCGTCGACCTCGATAATCAAGCGGTCGTACTACCTACCCAGCTACCCACCTACCTGCATACTATACGTTTTTTCGAAATACATTTTTGTTACGCTATTTGCACGCAGTCGACGTAGAGACCAGAAATACGCGGTTTACATATTGTACAATTTTTTTTTTTTTTTTTTTTTTTAACGCGTACGGTTTCCGCACGTTCACTGTAAATAACCGTTGGCATACACCACCGCCTAGTTACACCGCAAAATACACACGGCAGTCGGAGTGGTTTTTTTTTTTTTATTTTTTTCACGACCCGATTTTTTTATACGTGCGTATATATTTTATTTTCCGCGCGCGCCACTCGATCCCGAACCGGCGCCGGATTTGTGCGATCCGCAACGCCGGCGTAACATTTTCTATGCTATTTCTACACCTGAACTTATTGTATTTATCTATATACCCCGGTATAAATACCAAAGTTATTGATATTATATTATCCCTCGGTGGCCAATAATTTCAAACGCGGTTTGAATTATACAACCAATAATAAAAACGTATACATTGTTTTCGACGTTTTTAATTGCATTTTACCTTATATATTATGACATTGGGATTACCTAAAAATTCGGTGAACTTTCTTTCTTTCTTTTTTAAATGATGAGTGTGATAATTCGATTCAACCGAAAATCAAATATTATACACACGTGCCCCACCAGTAGCCATTCGAGCTCTATAAAAGACAACCATCTGATTATAATCTCCAGGTACGAAATTTACAAAGTTTAGTCACATTATTAGAAAATATGCTAGTTGTTTCAAAATCTTCCGAAAAGAGTTATTAATCGGAACAAGTTCGAAGGTATTTCAAATTATTCCAACATTTTTAAAAATTATGTTATAAGAGGAGAAGTAAAATATGCCGGTACAAATTTACCGGATATAAAAATATCACTCTAAACTTTTTACCAGAGGAGGTAAGTATAACAATGAAAGTATCGAAATTCTCCTGGCACTGGCGTCCGACAGATGTACAGAAGTTTCTCTAATAGGCAAACGACACTGACATTTCTACGGGACTACGGCCGCAGGTCCCTCGTCAAATCTGAAACGATATTATTTTTTTCGGTCGAGATAATATCGTCCGGGTGCCCGTGAAATCAGATGAAATTCTTAACTATACTAACTAACTAAACTAACTGTAAAATATGTTCTTTTTGTCAGCGGAGAACTGTGAAATTAAATTATTTGCCACGCCAGTTATGACCGAATCATTAGTTTTAAGAGATCGTTTGTGAAAATAATAAATGATAAGGAACATACTAAGATACCTTAGGTACCTAAAGTACCTACACTCCACAAAATACATTGAGAGCTTCGCTAGAACGATAACTACATTGAACTCTTTGAGTTCTATCACTTTACAAGATCATCACAATAATACGAATTCCGTTATCATTTAGAAGGTATATTGAATAAATAAATTATTGAAAAATATTGAATATAAAATTTAGTCATAGGTAAAAGGCTAAAAATAAACTTTATAAAATATTGACATTTTAAATGAAAACATAAATAATTCTACAACTGAAAGTATGTAAACTTCTTTATTATAAGTGTAGGAAAGTGTAACACCTTACCCCTTCCCCAAAATATTTTTTTGTAACGCACCTATTTCAGAATTTTCTAATTTTATCGATAATAACTCATTATTTACGCAATCGACTGTTTTATTTGTATACATTTTATCCGTATTTTTTCTAACAAAGTTATCCACCCTAAACAGAGCATAATATTTATAGACAAACTAGTTCTGAAACCAAATTGTGAATTTGGAAAAAAAAAAGATTTTTTTTCCCCTAAAAAATCGAATACTTTGATACATTTTTCAAAAACATCCAAATAAAGTTATTGATAATGAGATCGGACGGTAATTTCCGCATGGAAATTTGTCACCGACATACAATAAATATAATAACGAGAGTATCGAAATCCTCCCGACATTACAGGCTTCGCCCGGCAGTTGTACATAAGTTTACTTGAATTTTTGCGGGACTATACGGCCGTGGGTCCCTCGTCAAATCTGAAACGACACTTACTTTCCGGTAGAGACAACGTCTATTCCGTGTGCCGGTGAAATCGGATGGAATCTCGAACTGTCCCCGAAAATCGGTAGTAAAATAATATTGCTGTGGAACCTCGATAACTCGAACCTCTACAAAGTGGAATTTCCGATTACTTTAAGGATTTTCTTGGCTCCTGCATTTCAATATACGATATGTGGGATACATTTTTTCGATAATTCGAACTTTGCTTACACGTATTTCTCGATAAATCGAAGTCGTTTGAGTTGAATTTTGACTTATAATTCGAATTGTTCGACATAAATTACCGAAAGTCATTGAAATAATAAACGAATTTGTATAAATGTACGAACAGTCATCTATAACGATATCGTATATATGCACGTATAATAGAGTGTACCTACGTTCATAAGTAACGATAATCGTAATCGAAAACCTATTAATTTTATCAACCTTTACTTAATGCTTAAAATGATATTAAGGATAGAGAGAAATATTTTTATGTATTTATAATGCATACATACAAACATTATACAATATATATATATATATATACATGGAATAAATGAATAAACAAATAAAATTATAAAATAAAGTCCTGGTGTTGTGTAAAAAAAATAATTTGAACAACTCGAATTTTTTTTTCTTTATGACCCAGACCGATTCGAGTTATTGAAGTTCCACTGGATGTTCATTTTGTCGACGGAGACCGGTAAAATCGAATACCATTCGCCACGCCGACAACGGCCGAATCGGTAAGGGTGTCGTGTAATAAAACAGTAGTTTTAAAATTCAAGAGTCGCCCCGGGGCTGATTCGCCTCGCTCGCCACGCGCGCCAATAACGATCGGGGTGGTTCCGGGGGGCTAGGGCAGGGGGCTGGGGTAGTGAACATGTTTGCGCGTTGCGTGACAGTCCGGCCGTCCTTTTGTACGAACGCCGGTGCGGTGCGGCAAAAGGAATTCGGAAACATTACCGATTTGTACGGTACGCGCCGAACGCGGGTCGTAACCACCGCCGCCGCCCGGGACGAGTTCTTTCGACACGACGTCGGGCGCGCGGCACACGTTTTCCACGTTTCCGCTTCGAGAATTCGCGTCCGTGTCACTCCGTGCCGGCGGCCGACCCGTCGCGATAATAAGGGCTCGCGGGACGGCCCGGTTCCGCGGTTTAGGAGTGACGGGGAGGAATCGATAGCCGCCGCCGCCGCCGCCGCTGCCGCCGAGGAAGACGAACACTTGGCCCGCCGCCAACACAATAAACTCTCTTGTGGCGGAAGGGCACCAATTAGCGCGGCCGCCGCCACCAACGACACCGCCGTCATCGCGGCCAACGACACGCATATTATTGGCGATCGGACGACGGAACCGCCGCGGCGAATGCGCTACGAATATACAGCCGGCGGGGGTAAGAAAACGTATTATTTTTTTTTTATTTTTTTTTTCTAACTTCTTCGCGTGCGCGCGACACATAAAAGCCACCCCTCCTCCTCCTCCTCCTCCCACAGTATACGGTACACGCCGCGGTATAATTATTCTCCGGCACTTGGGTAAAATATTTTTACTGCACGGACGCCACCCCGAAAATAACGTTAATAATCCGAGAAACCCCCGAAACGCAAAAACTCATCAATTTTTTTTCGGGTGCAAACCTAGTCCCGGTTCCGTAAACGGGCGGCGTAAACCGAGACCCGGATTCGTTAGCATTTATTTATTTAATTTTTTTTTATTTCCGACGCTTTCGTGTCAATTAAATGGTTTTAAACTCGGAGTGCCGGTAAGAAGCGCATTGGTTTTACAGCGACGTGTATTTCGTCTTTCTCGGACAACACTTTTACGGGGTTAGTAAAATAGTAAAAATGCCTTCGCGCAGTACTTTAAAATATGCGGCGTTTTCGTTGGGTAGTATTTCGTTTGAAATATTTATCGAAATTTTCAACGAAAATTCAACTCTCCATGACGACGTTCTTGTTTGTTTTCCGGGTTACCTTGACGAAAATTGAAAAAACTACATATATTACTACGCTCAGAAACGTTTTTGCGATTGAAATAATTTCTTGTCATGCAAAATGTATAAACTAAATTATAGATCTCGTGTAAATCCTACATTCTCAACTATTACCCACCCGCTTCAGTGGCCCGCCCATGAGTGGTATCAACTTTATTTTATAATATAACGCGTGTGATTGCAGCAGTCCTAAATAAAAATCGAATGCCACGCTCGATTTACGGGCATTTATTATCGGGTTATCGTTGAGTTTTATATTATTGTTACAGGTGTAGATAAGTACATTATTAAAAATATTTAAGCCGTTTAAATTTATAATAATTTAAGCCGCCAAAGGGTGATATTAAATCAAATCGAATCTTTTGAGGGATAATCGGTGAAAAGAGGTTTTTTTTTTTTGTTTGAGTATACGGATATTTTGAATTTGTTTGTCAACCCTGTAATAGTAATACTTTTATTCTTTTTCGTCTTTGCCTTAATCCCACGCAAATGGGATCGACTACTCTTAAATTCACCCTCCACAACTCTCTGTCACTATCATTGTAGTAGGTTCGTCGTTTACTCCGCATGTCTACCCTTAATATAACCACTATAGCCACTTTTCCTTTGTCCCCGGCTTCAATCTATTGCCGGTATTAAACCATATTATTAAAGAAAAAAATAAAAGTAAAGGAAAATAACGAATAAAGATTATTATTATTATTGCTTTTTTTTTTTTTTTTAAGAAAAAAAACCCAAGAGTTGAATTATTATATATATATATTTATTTATTCACTCATAAATAAAATCGCACTTGAGTCTAAAATTCTAATGAAAATATGTTCAAAACATGTTCTCGTGATCCCGTTTAAATATAGAAAGGCCTGTAGGCCCACGAATAGAGACGGGTACTATAACCACTTAGTAGTATGTGTAACTACTACTCATCATATTAGTCGACCGATCATCAATTTTATTCGACTAATGACAAATTTAGTTGACAGACGACCTGCAATGTCTAATCCGACTAGTTTGGTCGACCAACGATTATAGATGACTTACTTATTCAACTAACGGCTAATATGAATGATTATATAATAGGTCGGTTCTGTAGTGGCATTAATAGTGATGTTTATAGGGGAAAAAATGACTTTTTTTGTTTTATATAAGGGTTAATTGTACTGTGAATTAAAGAATTGTGTAAAAAAAAAAAAACGGCCGTCTTCGCACTGTTCTGATGATTGTAGTCTCAAAAAAATTGTCAATACCACACTAGGGTAGCTATAACGAATAGTTGTTTCCGTCCATCACTGTAATTGCAAAATACCTTAATTTGTTCTAAATTATTTTTGATATATTCCCAAAAGAGACATATTTTGTTTCTTCTCTCCGTTATAGTTGGTAATTAGTTGGGAGTTAGTTCATATGTTATGAACGTCTATATCCACTGGTGGCGTATACAGAGACTTGCGACACACAATGCAGCACCGTTAAGACGCAAAGGCAGGTACAGACATTAAAAAAACAACAAGTGTTTTAATTTGGTTATTTTTCATATGTCGTGTTCATATCACGGTCGGAATTTTTAACAGAAGTGTGCAGCTGTTCGTGTATTACCTAGATGTGACCAACGAAAAAATGCTCAATGACATATTACACTAAACGCCCGATGGGGTTTTTTTTTTTTTAAAACTACACAAGCTAAAAAGAAGTTTATCTATAGTCTCGAGGCTCTGAACCGTATTTACGGTAACGGAAGGGGGGAAGGTTATCTTTTCAGTAGGTCGATATCAATTTTTGGCAGCCACGCCACATACCTATAGATTAGGTACCTTATACGGCGGCCTGACAAATAATGATACATCTCTTTCGGTAATCGGTCACGTGTCGTCGGTAAAATGAAAGTTTATAGCGAAAGGGAATTGGACGACCGCAAAAATATTATGCAGTTTGCGTTGAGCTTTTTTACGTGTTGTCGTATTATTATACGTATAGGTATTATATGCGCTAGTTTTATTATTGTAGTGCTTTATGCGTTTTGTCAAGGTCTCGTGAAAAAGACTTAGGTATCCGAATAAAAAATCTCCGGGTTCAAACGTTTAAAATTCCCGATCCAATTCGAAATAAAACGAAACACGCGCGAATAAAAATAAATTTCACGAAAACCGTCAAAGTTTTATTTTTGAGAAAATATTACTTATACTGTACGCATTCTTACTCTAATTTGCTATATATTATAAAAAAAAAAAATAATAATAATAACACACTGCATTTAAACATAAATTTTCATACTAAAACAATAACCAAAGTCGATCAATATTTAAAAATAAAAAAATGTTTGTTATATAGAATAGGATATTATTAAGTGTTACAATTAAAGTTAAACAGTAACTAGTAAAAAGTTTTGCAACTTTGCATTTTTTTCTCGAAATTTACTAGTCGAAAACTTTTAAATTATAATTATGTTACGTAACTATATCAGGGTCGGATTCAGGAGGATACTCAGAATCTAAAGAGAAAAAAAAAATTTTACACACGACGTCATAAATGAATCTCATAACGGATATAAGTATAGCATATATACTGGTTTGACAACTGTTTGTATATTTTTGACGTCTAATCAAATCGTAGAAACGTAACCGTTGTTTTCGAAAATTGTAATATTTTCTCCGTCTAGATAAATTATTACGATTGTATCATTTGTCTATGTTGTCTAGAAAATTTTAATTCGGTTCGCCTTTTATCTTTAACTAGACAATACATTATATTACCGATGTTCTAGCGCGGCTGTCTTTTCTAGACAATACCATGCGGCGTATCTGAGATGTTTCGGAAAGACAAGTAAAAAAAAAAAAAAAAATTAAAAAAAAAAAACAACGACCGTTACCGCATTCGTGTGTCCGCGTACCGCGCGTAACTTCGCCGAGTGTTTAAAATCGAATTCACGCGCATTCGTGTTGTTACAAGCCTGCCCACAATAAACAATACGCATGGGCCGATTAATCAATTGTTCTCGGCCAGGGGCGACCGTAAACCGTACGATAATAATAATATAATATGAATTCCGCGTCTCCCGGGCCATTGCGTGATACAATCGTATATTTTACAAGTATACAATATTGTCCGTATATATGCATAGTATAGATTGTTCGATTATTATTATTATTATTGTTATTATTATTATTATTATTATTATTACGGAAACAATAATGAGTGCCATCACGCATCGGGGGTGGGGGGGAGGTGGGGGCAGGGAGAAAAAAAAAAGCCGAATTTTAATCGCTGCGCGTTATCGCCGTCTTCTGTCCGACGACCGCCGAACTATTATTGCCTATTGCGGCCGACAGACGAGACACGCGGCCGAAACGGTTTAATATACACGGGACGGCGCTATTGCGATTGCCGCCGTCGTCTTTATCGTTATTATTATTGTTGTCGGCACACACCTATCCGCCGCCGCCGCCGCCGCCGCCGCCGTGTAGCGTGACGCCAACCAATAATATTCGTGTGTAACGCGGTTATCATTGCGTTGTGCATCACGGGTTATTGCATTTTTACCGACCGTACAAAAACGATAATGTTCCGTCGGTACACGCGCGCGCGCGCACACTTACGTGGCTGCGTGCCCGCGCGAAAACGCACTCGACGCGCGGTCGAACGCAACGCACGTTCGCGGGGAACAACGAACAATTCGTAATAATCGCTTTGTGAACTGCGTGCGCCGAGACAAACCGCGTTTCGTAACGGCCATTGCCGTCGCGCACCCGACGGCCCGGACGTGCGTCGTCGCATCGTCCGGGAAACAACAATACTGGCCACTCGCCGTGCGCTCGAGGAGAGTTTTCTGCGCATCCTAAGCGTATTTCACCACGAAAAATAAATATTTCGCCGCAGTGGCGCCGCGCCGGAACTTTTACTCCGGGCGAGCCGAGCCGGGGCAAACGCCGTTCCTTGATACCTGCGTGTCGACCCGTCGAGATTATTGTGTTCACATAATCGAATGGGCAATAGGGCGTTATATAATTTCCCCATTAATAATCGTTTAACGTTGTACCGATCTGAACGTTTTTCTTCCGATTTTTCGTTTATTCACATGCCATGAGAGAACTCCCGAGAAAATCGAAAAACGTCCTCGCTCGAGTACCACCCCGAGACAATTTTCTTTCAGAAAAAGGTCTACATCATGTACACCGGACTCATGGAAATGAGCTTTCCTGTAGAAAAAGTGTTCAGATAAAAAAAAAAATAAACACCTTATAAATCATAAAATACATTCTTCGCTACACTTAGAATCTAAAATACAACTGTTATCTCTACATTTCTTCCTATTTCTATATGTTTAAAAGTATGATATCCA